TCTGCCTCAGCCGGGAAGAGTGCAATGATAATACCAACATGGGCCAGTGAAGCAATGTCCTCCACAACTAGACTGAAGAACAAAAGGACAGCAACTGCCCCCTTCCCTGACCCCCCAATGCTGTTCCCCTCCCCCAATTCTCCAATAAAATCTTTTTTTAAAAAGTTGAAAAAAAAGAGTATGAGCTCTGTGCATCAGTGGTTTGATTCCCAGCTCAAGCTGAGCTGCCGCTGAGCTGACAACAGGTGGCAGGATAGCTCAGCTAAAAAAAAAAAAATAAAAAAAATAAATAAATAAAAATAAAATTATATAGAACCACAAAAGACCTCAAATAGTCAAAGCTATCTTGAGAAATAAAAACAAAACATTTCACTACCTGATTTGAAACTATATTACAAAGCTATAGTAATCAAAATAGTATGGTACTGGCATAAAAACAGACATATAAACCAATGAAATAGAATCAAGAGCCCAGAAATAAACCCATGCATATACAATCGACTAATATTTGACAAAGGAGCCAAGAATACACACTGGTAAAGGATAGTCTCTTCAGTAAGTAGTATTGGTAATCCTACACATTCACATGCAAAAGAATGAAATTGGACCCTGATTGTAACACCATTCACAAAAATTAACTTGAAATGGATTAAAGACTTAAATGTAAGACCTGAAATCATAAACATAAGAAAACAGCTCTTTGACGTTGGTCTTGGTGATGATTTTTCAGATATGACATCAAAAGCACAGGCAACAACAACAAAAACAAGTGGGATGACATCAAACTAAAAAATCTCTGCAGTAAAAGAAATCAACAAAATCAAAAGGCAACCTAAGAATGGGAGAATATATTTGCAAACCATACATCTAATAGGGGTTAACATCCAAAATATATAAGGAATTCATACATCTCAATAGCAAAAAACCAATCCAATTTATACATGGGTAAAGGATCTGAATAGACATTTTTCTAAAGAAGATACACAAATGGCCAAAAAGTACATGAAAAGGTGTTCAACATCACTAATCAGGGAAATACAAATCAAAACCACAATGAGACATTACCTCATACCTGTTAGGAGATGGCTAGGGTGAAAAAAATGAAAGATAACTGTTGGTGAGGATGTGTAGAAAAAGGAACCCTTGTGTACTGTTGGAATGTAAATTGGTGCAGCCATTTTGGAAAACAATATAGAGGTTCTGCAAAATATTAAATATAGAACTACCATATGATCCAGTAATCCCACTTCTGGGTATATATCCAAAAAAAAAATGAAATCACTATCTCTAAGAGATACCTGTATGGTGATGTTCATTGAAGCATTATTCACAAGAGCCAAGACATAGAAACAACCTAAGTGTTGGTCAGTGAATGAATGGATAAAGAAAATGTGGTATAATGGAATGTTCTCAGCCATAAAAAAGAATGAAATCTTATCATTTGCAACCACATGGATGGACCTAGAGGGTATTGTGCTGAGTGAAATAAGTCAAACAGAGAAAGACAAATACCACATGATCTCACTTATATGTGGAATCTAGAAAACAAAATAAATGAACAAACAAAACAGAAACAAACTCATAGATACTAATGGCTGCCAGATGGGAGAGAGGTTAGAAGCCTGGGTGAAAAAGGGGAAAAGATTAAGAAGTACAAACTGGCAGTTATAAAATAGTCATGGGAATGTAAAGTACAGCATAGGGAATATAGTCAATAATATTGTAGTAACTAGCTATGGTGTTGGGTGGGTGCTACACTTATTGGGGGGATCACTTCATAAGTTATATAAATGTCTAACCACTGCTGTACACCTGAAACTAATATAATATTGAATGTCAACTGTAATTGAAAATTTAAAAAACTTTAAATGTGGTATATACAATGAAATATTAGTCATAACAAAGAAGAAAATCCTACCATTTGTAACAACATGGATGGACCTTGAGGGTACTAGGCTGAGTGAATAAGTCAGAAAGACAAATACTGTATGAGTATGATCTTACTTGTATGTGAAATCTAAAAAGTTGAACTCATAGAAACAGAGCCCCTTGTTACCAGGGGCTAGGAAGTGGGGTAAATGGAGAGATGTTGGTCAAAGTGTACAAAACTTCAATCCTAAGATAAATAAGTTCGGGGATCTAATGTACAGCATGGTTACTATACTTAACAATATTATAGTGTGTCCTTAAAATTTGCTAAGGGAGTAGAACTTAAACGTTCTCATCACACACACAAAAAAGGGTGCCTCTGTGAGATGATGGATGAGTTAGGTAACAACACATCACAATGATTATTGTGATAATCATTTCACAACATATATGTACGAGTATATCAAGTCATCACATTGTACACTTTAAATTTACACAATGTTATTTGTCAATTAAATCTCAGTAAAGGTGGAAAAATTAAAATAAATAGCAAGGGTGAGTTTGAATTTAGTTTCCCTCTTGCTAGAAAATAAGATGGCTCATGACTTAGGCTTCATCATATATGGCAGCTAATGTCACAATCTATTACGTTTTGGACAATTATATGTTTGCTGCTCTGGGGAGTTGAGGTGATGTGACATGAGTGGGAGAATGTTTCACTGGAGAGACTCTTGTTCCTTCTGCAACTGCCACCCCACCCTCCTCTCCAAGAGAAAGCTGACCTGGGAGGTGGGGGTTAAGGAGACTGAGCAAGCTGGGACCAGCCTGCAAACTCACCCCAGTCACCCAGCCAGTGAAGAATTTCGTACAAGTGCTTCTCTTTAGTCTTAGCATCTTTGGAGAAGGAGGCGAGTTTCTCTAGCAAGATGAATCTGTTCTTGCTCTTTTGCTCCATCTGGTGAGATTTTACCTTTTCTTTTAAATCATATCCCAGTTCTTCCTGGAAGCAGTTGATGACACCGTCGACATTGTCCAAGATGTCTGAGAGCTGGGAAGAAATATCCTATATGGAAGACAGCAGAGTGTAGTATTTAGAGGAGTGAACTCTGGAACCAGACGCTGTGGCCCAATAGTGTGATCTTAGACAAGTCATTTAACCTCCTGGGGCCTCAGTTTTCTTATTTGTAAAATGCAGATCATTATAGTACCTATGTCACAGGGCTTTTGTAAAGATTAAATGAATTAATATTTGTAAAGAACGTAGGACAGTGCCTGGCACATAAAATAAAAAATAAGTAGCTCTTATTACTGTCATTTTAATTATTAAGACCAGGTCAGGGGAGGAATACTAAAAATCCACAGCAAACATGTCTTAGAATTTCAGAATTTGTTGGGGGACTTTTGGACATCTCTCATCACAAGGATCCAGAGGCAACAGACTGGAAAAATGAGGCCCCAAGAAACCCTCAGGATCAGAGTCTGCCATAAAAAAATGCACTAGAGGCTCAAGAGCAGGGTGATTCCAGCCTTTGGCCGTTTCCCTGTGAGCTTCTAGGGCTCAGTGTGAGGGATTCTGACGGGTTGCCAAGAACAGACCCCCAAATCATGAACTCTGGGCCCTTCCTCCTGCCCTGCTAGGACCCACACCTCTGTGTCTCAGGGTCATCCTGGGGTTTCCATGGGCTATTCTCTTCCTGGGCCTTGCCTAGACTTGGGGGGAGATGGGGGAGGGGGGGATGGGTGGTGCTTTGACTCCAGCGGGCCCTGCAGAGGCCAAGTCTAGGAGGTGGATATTTTGACCAATCTGTCTGCAAATCCAGCTCGCTGAGGAAGCCAGGACCCCCGAGGGCCCAGAGCCGGAATCTTGCCCAAATCTGGGATCAGTCCCCAACCTCCACATCAGGCCCCAATAGAAAGGGACTCCCTCATCTCAGGAATTACCTCGTGAGCCCGAGTTAGCTGGGCAGCCTCAATCCTCGAGATGATGGCTGTCACTGATGTGGGGGTCACCAGCTGTGGGGGCTTGTCTTTCTCCATTTTGGATCACTGTCAGTCACAAAGATGTCCTGTGTCTCTAGTACACAAGCCTGGACACGTGATGTTGGCTGCTTTGGGGTTAAGGGCTCTGGGGCAGCCCCTGAGTACCCTATGCCTTAGCCACAGCTCTCTGTAACTGCCAGATGTCAGGTTCTAACTGACCTTCTTTTCTCTAGTGACATCATCAGTTTGATTGGAAGAATGAATCCCTGTCATCTATCTGCTTGACTATCTAACTTTATATATTTCTTTTTTGTTGTTTAGTTGTTTTTAAACTTTATTTATTTTATATATTTCTAATATATATTAACTTGACCTGTTGCTTTTTAAAAATCATTAAATGTTTTGCTCCCAAACTAAATGTTAATGGCTAAAAATAGGAAAAAAAATCAGAAAAAGTTGTTTTCCCAGTGAGAACTTAATAAATTACAGCCAATCAGTAATGAATGGGAATATGTTTGCATTTGCAGCAGGGATCAGGGAGGGAGTAGGGAGGAAAAAGGGATTAAAAAAAAAAGAAAGGACCCTAGACTGGGAGTCAGGAAACCAGGTTTAAGTCCCTACTCTGTACCTCTCAGCTCTTGTAACTTTAGGTAAATCTCCTAACTCCACTGAGCCATAGTTTGCACATGTTTGTAAGGATGAGTAAGTTATTTATCAAACTACAACATGCTCTGAAATCACAAGGGATTAAAGGACCATCCAGTGCCAGATGTAAAATTGGTATACATAAACCAGGGCTTGAGCACCTCAGAGAACTAGGTCTCACTTGTTTTCAGTATTTCTAACACCTAGCCCCATGCCTGGCACATAGAATGTTACCAGTGTTTGTTGACTGAATGAGGCAATGAAAGAAAACTTTCAGTAAGTGAATGAACGGTAAGGAACAGTAAGGAACACTTCTCATTTTATGAGGTTAGCATTACCTTGCTACCAAAACCAGACAAAAATATTATAAGAAAAAAAATTCAGTAACCTTCACAAACATAGACATAAAAGGAAATGAAATGGAAGCCTCCGATTGGAAAAAATTATTTGCAAAATATATGTTTGATAAAGCACATGTATCCAGAATATATTTTAAAAACCACTACAACTCAAACAAAAAGAAAAATAATCCAGTTTTTTAAATGGGTATAAGAAGATATACAAATGGTAAAAAAAAAAAAGCACATGAAAAGATTCTCAATATCATTAGTTCTTAGAGAAATGCAATTTAAAACCACAACGAGATGCAAAATCTGGCAAAGATGAGACAGTCAATAAAAAGTGTGACAATCCCAAGTGTTGAGGAGGATGTTGGGAAAGTGGAACCTCATGTATTACTGGGGAGAATATAAAATGATAGAGCCACTTTGGAAAAAAGTTTGGCAGTTTTTTTAAAAGTTAAATAGACATTACCATACAACCCAGAAATCCCACTCCTAAGTAATGAAAACATGGCCACACAAAGACCTATACACAAATATTCATAAGCAGCTCTATTTGTTATAGCACAAACCTGCAAACAACCTAGATGCCCATCAACTGGTGAATGGATAAACAAATTGTAGTATGTCCATGCAATGAAATATACTACTTTACATGAAAAAGGAATGAACTGATAACATGCAACAACATGGATAATCTCAAAAGCATTACACTAAGTGAAAAAAGCCAGACACAAACTACTACAAACTGTATGATTCCACTTCTGTGAAATTCTAGAAAGGCAAAACCATAATGACAGAAAACAGATCCGTAAATGCCAGGAGCCGGATGAGGAGGAAGAGACAGAAAGCAAAAGGGCACAAAGAAAGTTTCTGAGTGAAGGAAATGTTTTATGTCATGATTATGTGGTGGTTACATGATGGTATACATTTGTGAAAATTCATAGTATTGTACACTTAAAATTGGTGAATTTTATTATATGTAAATTACATCTCAATAAAGCTGATTTTTAAAAAATATAATGTTTTATAATGCCCAAGACTGTGGAATTAGGCAGGAGAGTATTGGAGGGTGTAAGGAAATAATCCTTTCTTCTTTCTCAGGTGGCAAGTCTCCTCTACTTTCATTCCCTTTCCCCTTGAGGCTAGGATGCCCCCTCTTCCAAGTTCCTCTCCCATGCAGCTCTGTGGCAAGTAGCAACACCTTCACCACAGTTCAAGGCCACACTTAGGTGATCACTAGCCCAGGAGAGATGTTTGTAAACTTTTTAAGACATGTAGCCAACCCCTTTTCCAAGCAAAGCTTTCTGTAGAATCTCACTATCTAAAACAGATAAAAACAATATCTTGTTAGAATACATTTATAAGTTTTTCATGATATCTCTGTTATAAAATCATTCAATGTCAACAAGTCTGTTTGATGGACCCCAAACTTTAATATGTAGGACATTTGAGTGTATATATATATTTAAACTGTTTTAAAAACAGTTAAAATATATTTAAAGTTTCTGGGTAAAAATAGTAGGTTGAACACATGTATCTAATTCTGTTCTACTAAAAATACACTAAAACTATTGCAAGGGATTTTTTTTTAAGGCATAAATCTACAAGGACAGGGAAATAGGACAGGAGACAAGAGCCAAATATTTTAGGAAGCTGGAAAGTATGTGGATGAATGGTTACGGACTTAGACTAGAGAAGGATGGATCCTTAGGCAGCAGTGGGGCAACCATATGGCAAAACGGAATTGGTTGTGCCAGATGGCTTACCACCCTGAGAAGGAAGTCCTAAAGATGCTGACAAAGAAGTTCCCTGCAGTGAAGCTTATGGCCAACAAGTCCCACTCATGTACCTGAGCCCACACAGCACAAACACTTCCAATTGGCTTTTTGGTAACTCATCCTTAAATGTGAACATAAAACCAAGGATTATAAGACCTGCAAGAAAAGATTCTAACATGAAAGAGACCAAAACAACAGAAAAAGAAATTTAGAGCAAACCGAAAATGTAAACAAAACTATTATTAATCGCTTCAGAGATAACCTACTGCAACTCTGAAAAAAAAAGATGCTATAAAAGGACTATTCAGAGAATAAAAATAAAGTGAGAATAATAAAAATCTTTATTGAAAAACTCAGTAGAAGTTTTCTCAATAGAAGAATGGGAAGATAAAATTGAGGAAATCTCCAAGAAGACAAAGTAAAAAGATGGAAAGTAGGAAAGAGAAATAAGAAATTAGAAGGACCAGTCCAGCAGATCGATCGTCTGAATTACAGGAGTTCCAAAAAAAATAGAAGGGAAGAAATCATCAATGGGATGATTCAAGATTATTTCCCAGAGGTGTGACCAATTAGCTCAGTTGGTTACAGCATGGTGCTGATAACACCAAGGTTGCCGGTTTGATCCCCGAATGGGCACTGTGAGCTGTGCCCTCCTTAAAAGAGTCAACTATGCCATTGTAGCATGAAAACAATGTATAACCAATGACCATGGCTGGTCCCCAATTAAAAAAAATAATAATAATAATAAAAGATTATTTCCCAGAAGTGAGGGGCATTGAATGTCCAGCACAACAAACAGCTTCTCACCAAGACATATTACTGCCATTTCAGAACACTGGAGACAAGGAGAGGTTCAGAGAGGGGATAAAGTCACAAGGGATAAGGAGTTAAAAGGCTTCAGACTTTACAAGCACAATGATGAAAGCTAGAAGGTAATGTCCCAAGGCCTTCATAATTCCCAAGAAATTCAACTCCCAGCCAATCAATCCAGTGTCAGAATAGAAAAATGGCAATGGCAAACATGCAGTTTCAAGGCAATTTACCACCTCCTTTCTCAGGAAGTTTCTAGAAGATGGTCTCCAAAAATAGGGAATAAGTCAAGAAAGAGAAAGCCATGGACTATGGCAAATATAAGACCCAACAAAGGAGGCAAAGAAAATGCCCAGGAGGATGAAAAAGGAGATGTCAGGTTGCCAGATGTGCAGCAAGGATAAACACTCAGATTAGAGCAGGTCAGAAGCTCTAACACAGCGGTTCTCAACCTTCCTAATGCTGCGACCCCTTAATACAGTTCCTCATGTTGTGGTGACCCCCAACCATAAAATTATTTTCGTTGCTACTCTATAACTGTAATTTTGCTAGTTATGAATAGTAATGTAAATATCTTTTTGTTTTCTGATGGTCTTAGGCGACCCCTGTGAAAGGGTTGTTCGACCCCCAAAGGGGTCGCGACCCACAGGTTGAGAACCGCTGCTCTAACAGAAGAAGGTTAACCTGAGATCTGGCCCTGTAAGGGAGAGCTTGGCATGGGGTGGGGGCTGGGAGAGACTCTGCACCGGGAGGGTGGTGTGTCCCTCCAGTCTTCGCCCTGGGACCCCGCAGCTCAGTCTTTCCCTGGGTGTCTCTGGTGCCTCCCGGAGTCGCTGTCCCTCCAGCAGAGCTCAGGGGCATCTTGTTTTCCTCTCATACCATCCCCTGTGATGACAATTTCTTTGCCTGATGTAGCTGGTGATAATGATGGAAATCTGTGATTAGACACTTCTAGCCATCATGATGAATACTGATGCCATTGATATGTTCTCCTTTTCAACTGAGAGCCAATTAGAAGTAATCTGTATGTTGAGGAGGAAAAAAAGCACAAAATGAACATATAAGTCATTGAGATTAAAATTAGACTTGATAGTACTTCCCACTTAAATAACAACAAGAAATATATCCATCTTGTGGAAGGTATAAACTGTGTTAATCAGCACTGTCAAGAATTAGTTACTTCTTTAAGGCATATCTTAAACATGGTTGAAGGGAAATCCTAATAACATTTAAAACCCTGCCTGTTAATTTTTAGAGGATACTTTCAAGTTATGCATCCCGTAACTTTATGAATAGGTATTGAATCCAATTCAATAATATATAATTCCTATTAACATATATTAATGATACTTTCCCGTGATAAAGAAAAATTATTTTTGTCAGTGCATAGCTCTTCACATATTTCAGAGAAATGAGTCATAATGATTAAGAGCTAATAGTCCTGATTATTTAGCCATTTAAATAAGTGTATTACTACATTGTCCATACTGTCTAGAAGTAATGAAACCTAATTAATGTTGGGCATTTAGGGGAAAAAAAGGTGAACCTGATCGAGTATCTGCTGTATTTAGATATTCTGAGAAGAGATTTAGCCAACAAGGGGAAGATTTTGAGGCAGATATTGTGATGAATATATAGAAAACGAAACAAATTTAAAAAGACAATTATTAATTCCAGGAAAAAGAAAAAGTTGTGCAGCAAAGGAAGAATAATCAAAGTTTTCTGCATGGCTCAACTCTGAATGGCAGATGTAGTCACAGTGTTGTAAGAACTAAAAATTATCCAATTAAATTTGGCAGATGGTCAATGAGAATGAGGTATAAGCGGTGCGGAGAGAGGAAGGGAAAAGAGTTAAATCCTCAACTCTGCCCCTATTATTTGTGGGGGCTGAGGCAAGACTATAATGGGGGCTCATACTAAATATTTTAATGTTATAAAGCTAACAAATTGTTAAATAAAATACCTGCTAAACTCATTTTACAAATATACCTTCATAAGGACCTGGAAAATCTGGTTCTAAATTAGAATTTTTAGAATCCTCAGAGTTCTAACACT